CAAGAATGCCGTCCAACAGGGCTCTCTGTACTTATGTTTGTAGGGACAACTCGCCTCACAATCGAAGACACCTTGACAAAACCAAAACTGATAAATGAGCTCTGACATAGCCACGATTTCATGGTTCAGGCTCTGAAGATCAGACCCTGCCCCAGCAAGATTCCTCATCAAAGAGTGCGCCAAGAACAGCTCATGCGGAATTCATGATCTTTTTTAACGCTACCACCAGCCCCAATACCTGCCTCGCACGTAGCGCGTAAAATTTATACGACCACGTGCCACGTCGCGATGCAACTGAGCGTGTTTTCCGAAAGCTCCGCGTCTAAACCAGTCCCAAAATCCTGCCACCCGAGGAAACAGAAGCAGACTGAACATCTCTCCGAACCTCATTACATATAGGTATGAGTTTTGCTTGGAGACTCTTTGCTGGACATTCATCAAACAAAATGGGGTCGCGAAAACCGCACCATGAAAGGCCTAACCACCAAACAATGCAGGCTGCATGGCGTGTCTGTTGCTTGTGTGCGCTTAAAAAGGTGGGCAATGAACTTCTGTTTTCCCTGCAGCCAACAAAAACGCAGACATCCATATTGGGTGCAAACACTGACAACAGAGCAAGGGACCTTCCTAGGTGTTGGCTCGCAAAACGTGCAAAGAAGCACAGGTGGGCTGGTGACTTCCCCAGATCTCTCCTTTTCACTGGCTCGATTTGGCAAAGGGGCCATGCGAATCGTCCTTTTCAACAAGGGAACATGTGCTGTGGGCGTTTCCGGGATGTTCCATTCTTGGGTCTGGAGTGTGTTTCCTCCCTAGGCTCAAATGTTTCTTATCAAGCCCCAAGACGGCTTTCACGAATCTTGAACGGGCGGTTGGCTGGCTGTTTTGAAACAGCTTCCAGGTCCCCGAAACAATTCGGGATCTCTTAGGGACCAAAAAATGTTTTAGGGATTATTTAAACCATTAAAATGGCAACCCCGAAAGAGGAAAACAAAATCCCAGAGTGCTTCGCACATCGCGATCCGCCGTGTGAGAATTCGAGCCTGGTCGTAATATGGGCACAACTGGACCGAAGAACACCAAGCGCCAAGAAGACCGGATTTGTTTGTGGGGTCCAGCTGTACTTCTTGCGCTGGTTCCAGGGACCCTTCTTATCAAAAGCCTTGTCACACGACAGGGAATTGCTATTTTCACCTCTCCGTTGGTAAAGATGATCATACAATCTCATGTGGCTCTGATTCATGGGAAGCTCCCTAAGAAGTGGCTGGTGGACATAAATCCCCAGCTGAATGATGTCCAAAGGGTCCCTAAAATTCATACGGTTGGCCAGATTTCCAAGCCAGTGGCCAGCGGCTCGGAAACTCCTGTGGGTCACGAGTCCAAAATTCGGGGACCCCCAAAGTGTGATTTTCCTTTCGGCTGTCCTTAGCCCCAAAAAACCGCCGACCGACTCATTGGTGTTGCGCAACAAAGAAGAACAGAAAAGAGAAAGAGAACCGCCCCCAAACACACTCCTCCCAAAACCCCCCCAAAACAAAACCGGGAACCACCAACCACCCAAATTGGCTTGCGCGCCGACTCCACCACCTCCCCGGACTGTGACTCGCTCGCTCGCGCAGAGGCGTCGCTTTCGTCGCTTCTGAGGAGCTGATGCTCGCCAGGGCCAGCATGGAGCCCGCGGCCGCGGAGGAGTCCAGGTCCAGGTCCAGCACCCCCGCGGGGCCCCGCCTAGGGCGCGAAGCGGCGGGCCACAGCGAAAGGGGTCAAGCAAGCGGCATCCGGTGGGCTGGATTTGCGGTCCACATGGAGAAAATTTGGGGAGATGTGTTGGTCAAAATGGAAGGAACACACAACCAAAATGGTGTTTTTTTTTTTTTGTGTGTGTGTGTGTGTGTGTCAATTTTGAGGAAGGAACACACACACACACACCAACAACGGTGGGGTCACAGCAACCATTTGAGGGCTCTCTCATTCTTAGACAATATAACGATCCACAAAATCGGTGGCTTCACATTCAAACGATAAGGAGGCTACCACTTCAAAGAAATCACGGTGCTTGGGTGGGATCTTTGTCGGAAACCCTCAAGGGGTCCCAAAGCTGGAAGATCAATTCCGATCGCAGTTGGGGCAACAGATTTCCATCTTTCGACCCTTTTGAACCTCAAAAGGATTCCGAGCCTCGAGCCCACAATATGGGGCATACCAAAGATGTGGGGCAGCATTTTCCTCGTTCTCAGGATCCATGTGGGGTTTTAACAAACGCAAGCGTGTCTGCGTAACCTGTTGGAGCTGGAGGGCGAGGAAAAATTCGACCATTTGTTGCTTCAGATTTGCTTTTCTTTGTCACAGGAGACAAACCCAGATTTGGGGATGGGCACTTCAAATTGGCCCAAATGGTGGCGTTCAAACTACCGAAAAGGGAAGCATAGGGACTCTGTGGGCAGTGAGGCGATGTTTGTGAGTGTTCAACGCATGTGCCCTGGAAAATGGGAATGCACCTGCACAAATAGTGGACTTACCCTGCATTTGCCATGGATATAAGATTGCTTCCTTTTAACCATGCCCAAAAAGGGGGCTTTGAAATTTAAATATGTCCAAATTTGCTTTTCAACATCTGTCCCTGTTGCAACGCGCCTTAATCGCTGCTGCTTACAAGTGTCCTGTTAGTGTCCATGTAAACAGTACCATCCTTTTGATCCCCATGACAACATAATGGCGACAAATGAGAGACCAAAAGTTGAACTTTGGACAAATGACCCCTTTATCTCAATGTTAACTGGCAATCATAAGCTTGCCTTCCTTTCTACCTTTGGCCTGACATCTCATGTTGACAACCAGCCAAATCAAAGGAACCATTTTAAGACTTCGTTTGACTTAGTCGCGGCCCAGCCGCAAAGATAGGATTGAACATTTGTCCACCATCATTTGGTCGCGAGGGATAAATGTGTTCCGAAATGATTGTCCCCATTTTGATTGGTTTCCCGCAACCCAAAATGTTCGGAGAGAAGCCTACTGACTCAAGCCGTTGAAACGCTCTAAGCCTTTCAGGTATTATGCAAAAGAATCCCAGCTAGCCCTCAATCGGTGGTTTGGATTGGTGAGAACTTCAGCCCGCGGTTCTAGAGGGCAAATGGGAAACCACCCAGGAACACCTATCCGATCCGCCAAATACCCATCACGGGTCCAACGATCTTCTGACTTGCTGCTGCGAAAGGCAGGGAACCGTTGGGAATGAAGCGGAAGGGGATCTTCTTAGAGGAAACTACCAGTTGGATGATTGATATGGGTCCTGAGCAGCAAGCCAGGGGTCATTTGGTCTCCTTTCGAATGAAGCAACTTGCGACACCAACGGAATTATATGCAGAACGTAGGAATAGCTGGCGTACGAATAGATGAAACAAGCACCCTCAACACAACCTGAGGTGCGAGTGTCCATGTCCAGAGGACGAGGGCCGGAAACGAATTGCTCAGAGCACTGGAGCTCACTCTGATGGCCCTGTCAAATGGGTTTGTCTCAAAGTGGCTCTGGCAACCAAAACATGGAATCCCAAAAATGGCACCTTGCATACTGCAACAAAGACTAAAACCCGCGTTTTGCGGCCCTCCAAAAATTTGAGCCACACCCAAACAGCAATCATAATTTTGGGCTTCCTGCTGGTTTCCTATGAAAAACAAAGGTGGGCGCCCTCAAAGCCTTTTGGTCAGGTGATCCGTGGGATGTCTGCTCGGAGAAAAAAAAAAGGGGGGGAGGGGAAAAAACGCATCTGTCTGTCAGCTCACTAGGTCTCCACGTCAGACAATATGTCGATCCCAACCGTTGTGATTGTCAATACACGCTCCCGGAAACCAACGCGCAGAAACAATTTAAATTAGCGAGTTGTGGCTTGTTGCTCCCTTGCTAAAGTTGAACTTTTAGTGGGATATGTCACAAACACCTCATACTCTGGAGGTCGAAAGTCTATGTCAAGGGTGTGGCTGGAAACCGCAAACTCACTTCCAGACTCAGATTTGCTGAGGTCAGGGCTCTACGACTTCATGATGCAACGAGACCTCGCGGCGTCTCGGCCCGGCTGCTTTTTCGGGCGCCGAGGACGGCGTACGATGCCAAGCCAAGACCCCTATTTTTGGTTTGCCTTAGGGAAGCCAGCAGAAGCCCACCCATTTTGGGGGCTATGTTGAGACAAGCCTATGAGGGGGGTCACAACCGCCAGCTCAATGCGGGGGTTCCCATGAAAAAGAAAAAAACAAAAACAGTCGACTCCACTGCGGTGCCTGGTGGCAAACCAGGCTGAGGCAATGCCATTTTGGGGTCCAAAGCCCTAGCCCTGTCTTTGACTGCCACTCGTCTGTTGGATGATGGGGGAAGGTAAACCATGGTGGTTACAAATCAACCCACCCATTGTTTTCATGGGCCCCAGGGAGGCGAACCATGGCGGTTATAAATTCACCCAACCCTAGACTTAATGATGGCAACTGAACCCAAGGGAGGTGTCTTGGGCCTGCAAATATTTTGCACTTCAAACAGTTTGACTCTTTCTAGGGGCGATCAAAGTCAGCATGGGGTGATTTCGGTCAAACAATCTAGGGGCGATCAAGTTAAAAACTGGGCGTGGTTCCCTTTAACCTATAATTATTGCAACATCATGGGCTCGGTTCTGAAGGGAGACTGCTACCGTGGCGCTGCAGTGTTGCTTCAAAAGCGGTCATATTCTCAAAGACCTAGGCCGGTGAATTCCCTAAGACAAACCAAAAAGGGAGGTCCCCAAAAAATGATACACCCATGAAATTCAATGAATCCCCCTCCTGGGCAACGTAATGTTGACCCCAGATCAAGAAACCCGGTTTAGTATTAGGGAGGGTGCTTTTCCCTGGGTTTCGTGATTTAGACCACTTTTGGAGGGGAACAACCCCCAGAGTAATAAGCTGGGGTTGATTAATCTGCGGTCAACATTCACAACGAGAAACCTGTAAAGATAGGCATCCATGATTTTCTCGAAGGCATGGGTCGGCAACCTTCCGCTGCTGAGATCTTTGCAACCCAAACGCTATGATTGCTTGCAAAACAAACTGACTTCGCTTTTTTGCAGCCTACTAAAAATGAACAGAACACCAACTAGACAACAACAAAAAAAAACGAAGACAGAAACAAGACTTGCCAACAACAGCGTTCTCATCTTTCCATATACCTGGAAATAGAGACTTTGTACATGGACCGATACCACTGGGGAGCGTTTGTTGGCAGATGAGGCTGAACATTCAGCCACCACTGGCATGGGTGGTGCAAGGCTTCTCTCACTCTAAGGGGGAACACTTCATTTGGGTGTGAATTTCGGGGATCCGAAATAGCGGACATCACACTTTGGTGGGGATTCATGTCCCCCAACCAACCCCCAAAAAGCAAAACATTGCCATTTTTGTGCTGGCCTCATTGCTCTACCATCATCAAAGTCTACCCCCCCCCCCCACTGGTAGGTTAAAGGGAAACAATCCCAGTTTCTGCCTTTGATAGCGCTCATAAATGGTGACAACAAGGCCCCTGGATGCAAGACGGACACTTCGGCCCCGAACCGCCCTCTCCCTGGCCTGTTCTCTTGCCTGCTGCTTCACCTCCGGGCGAAGCCGACTCTTCAAACGTTTTCGCGCAACTCTCGCAACAGCAGGGAAACCAAACAGACGAGTTCCAGCCAAGCTGCGAGGTCTGGTTTCCAACAGAAAGCCCAGGCTCGGCCCCCAAAAACTATTGGTAATTACCTTGATACAAACATCTGCTCCCCCACAGAAAAGGCGAAGGTCGAAGAAAACCTTCTTTCTGTTCTGTGGGAACCGTACCAATCAAAAATAAACGTGTTGAACCGCTGCATCTCATTTTAGGCAGTTGGCGTGCTGTAGCTCGCCACAAAACGAGCTACATTCGCCAACTTGCTACCTTGCTCCCCCATATGTAGTATACTAGTCTTTCCCTTGATGCTCATGTTCGAAGGGTCGAAGTCAAAATGTCACGGCAACCGATCTTGGTCCTGTAGGGCAACTCCACCCAGTAAATGGGAGTGCCCCAGTGCATCCTCCATCATCATGACAAGTTGAAGGGCATCAAAATCAATCAAGCATAACAGTGAATGGTGTGTTGTTGTGCTTCCAATCAATCCGAGCAAACAAGGCGTTCTTGTAAACACCATCCCAAAGGCGACGCCGGGGAAATCTATACGTGTGTCCCAAAATAGGGGACCCTTGTTTGGATGGTTCTAAAAGGAAACCAAAAGGAAACCACTACCTGGAGGAATTGGCCCCCCATTTTGAGAAACACCCACGATCCCACAGGCGGGGATGCATTGGGCTGCGCCCAGTCCTGCGAGTGAATGGGGCGACTTGCGGCGATTTCAACCTACTCGCCGCTTGCACCGCCTCAGCATGCGCCCAACACAACAGGCGTGTCAAATGACTTTGCGGCAAAAGCAGAGGGCTGAAGCTCCTGTCTTGAGTTGGAACGGGTCATGATTCGCCACGGCTTTGGGGAGCCCAACACAACCCCATGGATCCTGGTGAACAAAGGTCAGCAGTCAGGGCCGTTTCACCTTTGGTGCGAGGCTGCATCTTGTTGCAAAATGACAGCCTCATTGTCCTAAGTCACTCCACAGCATGAGTAGATTCCTGCTTTGCAAGGTGCATGATAAATTCTCAGGGGCTCATCTGGCAGAACAGCCTCCCCCATTCAATTGGCAGGGGCTTGAACTCCTAGGGCCGCTTGTCTATTTTCCAGCGGCTCTTTACTTGGAGATCCCTCATTTCCGGCTTGGGAACTTATTGCAAAATGTGCAGAATATTTTGACCGTGGTGGCTCACACGGGTCAATCTCCGAAAAAAGGGGAGCACCCAAAGCAGGAGGTTTACCCGTGGTTTCCCTTTATCACTTTTTGGGGAAGGATCCCATTGGAGAGAACGGGGTTTTGGCTGCTCAAAAGTGTCTCGCTCGCTCTCTCTTGCCTGGTGCTTCACGTAGTAGAAGCAGCCCAGCGCCACAGTGACGCCAGCGAGGGAGCACCACCTGACGGTGCTCGCTCCTAGATGGGTATGTGCCAGAATAGAGGAACCCAAACATTCATGGTGGTTTGCCTTTTTGGTGTCCAGTACCCCCCAAACCACCAACTCGAAGGGAAAGTTGGGTAAATTACCACCATCTAGCCGCTGTATGCCCGGTCTCTATTTACATATATATATATATTTATACCCGGGCCGTGGCAACCCGGCAGGGCCGTGGCTGCAATCTTACCCAATAGCATGCAGGAGCCCAAGAGACTCAGTGCTAGAGAACCTGCGCCAATTAAAACAACTTCAGGCCCTTGTCATCTTCAACCCATCTCTTGGGGCTCCAGCGCGCTCAGATTCGCATGACTCTCATGTGCTTTCTGTTGTCCACCCGCCCCTAGTTGAAACCCACGGCCCCTTTGGCTCCATGTCCTTAGCCAGCCGCTGCATGGCGGAGTAGCGCTTCCGGAAGAGCAGGGC